GTCTACTTTCTTCCCTCCTACTTTTAAAGAAATTTATAAGCTTCATGAATGTGATACATGCATATATACATTGAAGCAAACACTATACACCAAAATAAAATAAATCTTGTTTTAAAAAATTTGCAAGCAAAATATAGATATATAGAGATAGGTAGATGGATGGATGGATGGATGAATGATTAGGTAGATAGATATGTATTACTATATAAATATACATTTATTACTATAATTTTCAAATAATACAGAAATAAAGCTAGAATGGGTTCCCTCATCTGGAATAATCATCATTTTATATACAAAAATAATTTGAAATAATATATGTATAGTTGTTTTGGTTTAGGGTTTATACAGGGGTGGCTTTTTTGAAACAGAATCTCATGTTTGGCCCTGACTTGTCTAGAACTCACAGAGATCCACCTGCCTCTGCCTCCTGAGTCCTAGGATTAAAGGTGTGTGCCACCACTCCCTGGCTGGACTTTGTTTTGTTGTGAAGGTTGAATCCAGGTCCTACACTTTCTGAGCATCACTCTAACCCAGAGATAATCCTTTAGGTTCTATAGATAGTGTTTAAGTAATTTTTTACATCATCTTAGAAATATTTTCGTGGCACTCCATAACTGCTAGAACTTCCCTTTCACTTTGAATGTGAGAGGCTCTCAGGAAAGCACACTGTGTGGTACAAAAGTTTCTTGAACTGCACAGTGGTGGTACACACGCCTTTAATCCCAGCACATGGGAGGCAGAAGCGGGTGGATCTCTTTGATACCAGGCCAGGCCAGCCTGGTCTACAGAGTGAGTTCTAGGACACCAGAGTTACACAGAGAAACCTTGTCTTGAAGAACCAAAAAATAGTTTCTTGAATAGGGTTGCTGTTTTTCTTTTCCTCTTTTATTCTTGGGCCTAGTTAGTTGTATTTTTGTCTCGATCATGTTAAGAGTGTTTATCTTCTGTAACCACAAGGTTGGGAAGTGATAGAGTCTATATTCCAACCCAGATCTTTTAACTTCAAAACCAGTTATTTTTCTACTTCCTTTCTCTCTGAACTTTAGAATCTTTAACTGTAAGTGAAAATAAAAATAGCTGTTTTGCTTGCTTCAATTTAAAGATGGTCATCACCTCAGGAGTATTATGCGCAGTCTTACATGCTAACTAAAACACAGTAATGATGAGTGACTATGTGCTGATCCTCCTGTAGTGGGATTATGCCCTGTAAACCTGTGTGCACTGAGAATATTGTAAATCAAAATATATTCAGGACACTTAACCAACCACACATCCTAGCTTATGCACTGTGAAGGACCTGCTGCTTGAAGTTATGAACTCATGACTGCTGGAGCTGTGCCCACTGCTGCTCCCTGTCATGATACTATCATGAAACATATAACTAGTCAAAATGCAAACTATAATTTTTTCTGAGTGCATATGGCTTTTGCGTTATGTGTTGCAGATTATCTGTGTATTTATTCAGATTTCTGAATTTTTCTGAGAGAACGATATTAATCTCGTAATTCAGTGATTTGGTTTGGAAGCTATAGGAATAAATGCAGAATATTACATGCTAAATTCAAGCATAATTCAGTTTACTCCAAGATTTGAACTTTGAAAACAGTGCCCTCTCTATTTCATTTTTTATCTAGTTTTAGTGTAAAAAGTGGTAATTAAGAGAGTAGGACTCTCTGGGTGAAAGACTACTCCTTTCCTTCACTCTAAAGCACCCTTCCTAAAAGAGATGGAGTGCTGGGTGGTGTTCTGGTTCTGCCTATCACTTCCTAACAGAGATGGAGTGCTGGGTGATGTTCTGGTTTTCTGCCTATCACTTCCTCTGACTCTTACTTCACTTTTCATTCCTCTCATGGCTGTGAGTATGCAACTCTTACAAAATTTATTTTTATTTTAAATTCAATGGATGTCATTTCCACAGATTTATTCCATATATTCTGCTTCTAATGTGGCAGATGAGTAAGAGAGAGACTCCTGGTAGAATAGCAATGATTTGATTTTCTGTGATTCTAGCCATTATTAAAGTGGACTACCAGTGTAAGCCAAGAGAGAATATGGTATAATTGCTTGCCTAAAGTGATAAAACCCGTCTTGTGTGTCCCTGAATATCAATGAAGGAGGAAGATTTAAGGGAGAAACATTTTTTATTTGGGATATGTTAAAGATCAAAAATGAGACCAAAATATAGTACATGTTCATCATTAAAGTCTGTGAAGTAAAATATCATTTATTTTGAAATCTTATATAAGAATATTTGTTTATCTTAAAGGTCAGTAAAATCTCCATGTGTGTCTCATAGAAATTCCATAGAATAATTGAACTTAGAAAGAGGGAGGTACCTGAACCATTGTACCAGTTTAAGGATTGTACTATGAAGACAGAATAAAATATAAAAATGCAGGAAAATTAGCACACTGTATTTTGTTTCACTGTTAATTCCTTTTCCTTTGACAATAATGCATATTTGATTATTTCTTCAGAAATTAATAAAGAACATCAGCTTTCAGTAAAAGACTCGGTAGTACCTATACTCACCTGATAAGCACCAATTTGTGACCTGCCTGTTGGTCTGTGTGCAAATCCTCACTAGCAGACTAATTAATAGATTATTATTGGAAAAGTTGAAGTAATATTTGTAGAATATAAGGCTTATCATAAACATTTTATTTGATAAGTTACTATTATATTTATTAACAAGCTGTTTATCTTTTAATTTCTATGTTCATCTTGTTTTTGAAATATGAAGAGTGGGTTTCATTCCATTCCTGAATTTGTTTTACTTTTTGGAAACCTTGATAGATGAATTGTGAGCATGTTTTAATGCATTCATGAAACAGATAACTAATACTAGTTACCTGACCTCTGAACAGATCCAAGTATACCTAGATAAAATTAATAATGTGTTAGACACTTAAAATTCCTATTTAGTGTTCTAATGTAAATATTCAGATCAGTATGCTTTTGAAGAAGAGAACTTTTATGACAATAATTTAAACCTGAAAAATGGTTTCTGTCCAAGCAGAGCTTTTCTGCTCTTTTTTTTGGATATATCGATCAGAATCACTTGCCTTTCCTTCCTCCTGACTGTCTAAAAGAAGCTAAACAAGGGTTTATTCACTAAACAGCTAGCTCTTGGTGAGTAGAGATTGGGGACACTGGTTTTAGTGTTTGTTGATTTCTATGATGTAAATTTTTCTGTCAGACCTAATTTTAGGCTCCTAATGTTGAATGTAGAGTTGAGAAAAGGTGTTTTCATCATGCAGAAAGAATGTATACAATCTCGGAAGGGTAGAAAAGAACAAGGTTTAGCATTTAGGATTTGAAGTGATGAATCTCAAGTGTTTATTACTTTAATATTGCTAATTATGTCTATGTGACTTAATGTTTAATAATGATTGTTTCAGCAAACAATATGTATCTCATGAGCTGATAGATACTAATTCTGGCTATCCTGGACCTTTAAGGTATCAGATTTTTTTTTCTAACTATGTAATTCTGATGTTAGTAAATGTCTAAGCATTTAGTTTTCTAAAATACAGAGCTGATCCTAAGGCCCAGGAAGACATTCTGCAGTCAAGTCCTACATATCTTTTCCAATGTCATTTCAGGTTGTTACAAACTGTCTTATGTTCTTTGTCCTCTGCCCTAGATGTAGATGAGACTTGTAATTTTTTAAGCATAGCACACTTTCCTACCCCAAGCCTTTTCAAAGGTGTCTTCAACTGGGCAATGGTGGCACACGCCTTTAATCCCAACACTTGGGAGGCAGAGGTAGACAGATCTCTGTGAGTTTGAGGCCAGCCTGGTCTACAAGAGCAATTTCAGGACATCTAGGACAATAACACAGAGAAACCCTGTCTGGGGGGCGGGGGAGGGTGTCTTCAGCCTTGAATGACCTCAGTTCATCCACCTGACTTTTGCAATACTGTTTATTTCACTTTCTAGAAATATCACAAATGCTACTGATGCTCGTTTCCTTCTATGGGAAACTCCCATTCTCCTTGATGTTTTTTCAGTTCCTTGTACTTCATTTGAAGTCAAGTTTACTCTTGTAGCAAATGTCTGTCACTCAGTAGATTGTTAATTACCTTTGGATCATACTGTATTAAGCACATTAATAACTTTAAAGTGATTAATAAATACTTGTTTATTTTAGTAGGACAAATTTTGGAGAGTGCATGCTACAGTCTGAGAAACTGGCCAAACCTTAAAGGATTTTGAAACTAGATCACAGGCACCATTCTGACAGTTCCGTACCAGATTTTTATCTCTCAGTGTCTTGAAACTGGAGAGCATCATGGGAACTCTGGAACTTACTGAAGGAGAATTTCAGAGAGCAAACGAGGCTCTTAAGACCAAAAATGATCAAATTGATTAACTATGTTTAGAAATTATTTTATTCTGTTTTAATGTGCTTTATGGTGTTCTCAGAATAAAACCGAAAGTACTGTTTATCAGTATAAAGATAGGTTGGGCCTTTATATTAGTAATGTCCCTATGAAAGAAGCAAAACTAATCAAGCTCCGTGGCTTGAGGGAAACTCATTCTCATAAACGTAAAGGGCGAATACCTCATCAGTCTGTTGGGTTCTGGGGCATTTTTTTTTTTCTGGAACTGCCTGATTGTCTTCACAGTAAAATTGACGAGATCAAAGTGTGTGAAGGAAATGCTCTAAATCAAAAACAACCCAAGATTTCTTTTTTCTATCTTTTATCCTAAGCTGCCACCTAATGGCAGAAGTTTAAATGACATGTTTATAAAATCCAAAGAGTACATTGAGATGTTATAGATTCATTATAGATCCTTACTCTTAATAAACATTTGTATAATTTTGGACCTCAGAGAAGTCGTATTTATTACTAACCTTTGTTAGGCGATACTTTTGCTAAGGATGTTTGTTTTAAAAGTTGGGTTTCTCTTACGGGACACTATAAAGCATCTGTTTTTTGGTTCAGTTTAGTCACTTTATCTTGTCCTTTTTGCTTCTTCTCTTTCTGCAGAACGACAGCACTCAGACACTGAGGTGTTCTTTTACCTGTGGGTTGTCTTCTGTGTCATCAGCTCCTGCTATACCCTCATTTGGGATCTCAAGATGGACTGGGGTCTCTTTGATAAGAACGCAGGAGAAAACACTTTTCTCCGGGAAGAAATTGTATACCCCCAAAAGGTATGTGTGGAATGTTTAAAAAAACTTAGCTATATCAGTAGTTAGATCATACAGCAATATCGACTCAAAGTTCTAATTATAATAACCTAAAAATGATTTTAAAAAAAATAATTACCCAATTGGGCGGGCCACACCTTTAATCCCAGCAGTTGGGAGGCAGAGGCAGGTGGATCTCTGTGAGTTCAAGCCAAGCCTGGCCTACAGATGAGTTTCAAGACAGCTAAGATGGTTACACAGAGAAAGCCTGTCTCAAAAAAAAAAAAATGTCCAAGATACCAACCCAGTCCACAAAAAAATTTATCATGTTTGCCATGTGGTAGATGCTGTGGGAATGTAAGCAGATAAGCAAATGGCAGTGCTATGTCCTAACTAATGGAGAGGGCGACTTGCTGAGAAGCCTCTATTTTCTTAACATATCTGGTGCTTGGGTGTTCATGTTCCTCACTGCTCAGAATAATTCTTGTAGACTTGGTGTGCACCAAATGAGTAGCTGCATACTGAAAAAGCAACTTTATGAACACCCATGGGGAAAAGACTGCCAAAGTGCTCAGATCCTTTTGTCTATGCAATGAGTACTTGTTAGTGCCAGCCCACCTGGGAGAAAAGTAGAGTTCTGTAGGAATCATTTTAGTGTTTTACCGGCATATTAGAATAAAGGGAATGAGAAGCTGAATTTCAAATAAAAAAATTGTCTTTAGGGGCTGGTGAGATGGCTCGGAGGTTAAGAGCATTGCCTGCTCTTGCAAAGGTCCTGAGTTCAATTCCCAGCAACCACATGGTGGCTCACAACCATCTGTAATGGGGTCTGATGCCCTCTTCTGGCATGCAGGCATACACACAGACAGAATATTGTATACATAATAAATAAATAAATATTTTTTTAAAAAGATTGTCTTTATAGCCGGGCGGTGGTGGCGCACGCCTTTAATCCCAGCACTTGGGAGGCAGAGGCAGGCGGATCTCTGTGAGTTCGAGACCAGCCTGGTCTACAAGAACTAGTTCCAGGACAGGCTCCAAAACCACAGAGAAACCCTGTCTCGAAAAAACAAAAACAAAAAATAAAAAATTAATTTAATTGTCTTTATACAGATGCTTTGGTACCATGAATGATTAGACCTTGAAAAAATTGAACAATGAGCTGGGAATCTGGGTATGTGTATTATAATCCCAGCTGTATTACTAACTAAGCTGTTTAGTCAGCCAGACTGAAGGGATGTAGACTACATTAGCCCTTGATATATTCTCAGGCCTAAAGTTCTGTTATGGATAACATATAATTCAATACCCAAATGTTGCCATTACATCAAATCTGTATTTTGAAAAGTGTGTGATTGTATAATATGGAGTAGAGAAGGCTGTGACTAAGGCATTAAACATTTTTTATAATTCTTAATTAAAAGGAAAATGAACGGGTTGGGGCCAGGCAGTAGTATGCTGGTAAAGCACTAGCAGGAGCAATATACAGATTAATCCCTAATGCCATTTTAAAAAAGAAAAGAGGACCAGTAATCGGAATAGTCATGAATTCAGTTAAAAGCTACTTTTATGTTTACCACGTGTGTGTTTTTTATTACTGCGTGTGGTGTTTGGTGAATTCTGCACATATTTGTTACTTAGGCTGATTGCTTCAGTTCATTGTATCTTTACATAAATGTTAGGCTGTTTTCTATTTAAATGGGTTCTGATTTACTATTTTCTTTGTAATGAAATTAGTGGGTAGAATCTTTCTATTAGTTTATTATATATTTTAATGCCATAAAAAATAAAGTATAAATTTTCTTAAATTATAGTTGCAAATTTATAAGGAAAAAGTGAGGAAACTATTTGTGAAGTCCAGTGAACCTTCATTATAAAATCCTGTCACAGTCTTCATAAGAATTCTACCTGCTTTCTCACATGTGGGGAAGCTACATTGTGGGGGGTGTTTTATGAAACTGGAAAGGGGACCGTGAGAAGGTTAAAAAAGACCTTAAAGGGAGGCGGGAGATGGGAATGATGGCACACAGGTGACATGAAAATAAAAGTGGAGCTGTTGTTGAGGGGAAGGGGAGATGGGGCAAAGAGATGGGGCAGGGGTGAATACAATTAAAGACTGAAAATACCCTACTGAAGCTTATTGCTTATTGTGTGCTTGCTTAAAATTTTAATTTAAAAACTGATCAGTTAGCCAGGCAGTGGTGGCGCACGCCTTTAATCCCAGCACTCGGGAGGCAGAGGCAGGCGGATCTCTGTGAGTTCGAGACCAGCCTGGTCTACAAGAGCTAGTTCCAGGACAGGCTCCAAAACCATAGAGAAACCCTGTCTCGAAAAAAAAAAAAAAAACAACTAATCAGTTAGTGGATAATGTCTAAAACTGACCAGTCAAAACATTAAACACATTATTTAAAATTATGGAGGGCAAATGGAATGGATAGTTAGTTACAAATGACTGTCTCTGGGGAATAGAAGAGAAGAAGTACAGGGATCGATTGTCAGTTCCTGTTAATAGTCCTCTGATGGTGACTCATACACTTTGTTAAAAATTAAACAGGCCTGGGAAGGTGGCACAGGGCATAAAAACACTTACTGATCGTGGAGAGGACCTACATTCAGTTCCCAACACTCATGGCCACTCCCAACCACCTGTACCTCCAGTTCCTCTTCTGGTTTCCAGAGGCACAGTACACATACACACTTGCCAGCAAATAAAAGAGCAATACTTTTTAAAGTAAAGTAAATTAATACAGCTTACTACATAGCAGTTCTAGTTACCAAAATGACACAACCTTTAAATACATTTTGAAGTGCGAATTTTGCTTAGTAATAAACAAATCCATGAGTTTTGGGATCTATTGGCAGTTTGTATTTTTAAGACTTTCGGGTAGTTAAACTGAATTAGTTGAATACTATCTCTTATTTTCAGCAGTGTTTGTGAAATATTTATCATTTGATTTATCAACATAAAAAAACAAGACAAAACTTGTATTATATATGGGATAAAGAAATTTGAAATTTTAAATACAAATTGTACAGTTAATAAATCTGCTAATATCCTTTAGTACTAGTGACTTAGTCATCATCTTCCCATGCTTCTCCTAGAATACGATCTCATTTAATTTATAAGAGAGGCTCGTGTACAGTGTGGACATTAACTGTATTTGTTAACTGATTTCTGAAACTCAGTACTATATCATCATCTTAAATTTTTGCACTATTTAGGGAAACTAAAACCTATGTAATGTTTCCCCATTTATCTGTTGGTGGGCTATCTGTGAGTCTCAACAGCTAATGTAGGAATACTTTGTAAGAAGAGTGGTGAGAAATATACACTATTTGCTTGTATTTCTTAGGCTTATTACTACTGTGCCATCATAGAAGATGTGATACTGCGCTTTGCTTGGACTATCCAAATCTCTATTACTGCTACGACTTTTCAGCCTCATGTTGGGGACATCATTGCTACTGTCTTTGCCCCCCTTGAGGTTTTCCGGTAAGCAAACTATCGAACAATTTATCAAGGATTCTTTTAAAAGATGCCCAGTACTGGGCCAGCAAGCTGACTCAGCAGGTAAGGTACTTACTACTACCATGTCTGATGATCTGAGTTCAGTTCTGGGACCCAGATAGTAGAAGAAAGTTGTCCTTGACCTCCACACATGAGCTTTGGCTTTCACGTCCACACAAAAACAAAGAAGACAATTAGATGTAATAAAAACTTTGTTTGGGCATAGGGTAGTGCACACTTTAATCCAAGCACTCAGGAGGCAGAAGCAAGTATATTCTTGTGAGTTCAGGGCCAGCCTAGTTTGTATATAGAGTTCTAGACCAGCCAGAGTTACATATGAGACTGTCTCAAAAATAATAGTTATTATTATTAAAAATCACAAAATGATAGGTTTAAAAATGGCAATTGTTTAGAAATGAACCAAAACATGTTTGTGCTGTCACTGTTGACTGTGAAAGAGAACCAACAAGCACAGCGTGGAAAGGATGGTTTCAGAGAAACCTGAATTTATGGCAGGGGTGGCAGGACAAGGCATGTTGACGTAGCATGTGCCGAAGACTTGTCCATCACAATGCATCAGGAACCAGAAAGTGGAGGTCAGAACTAGGGGCAAATGTAAATTTCAGAGATCCCAGTGATCTTCTCTGGCCAGGGCCTCACCTCCTACATGTTCCACATCCTTCAAAGTAATACTGGAAAGACTCAGCACATGTTCCTTTGGGGACATTCCAGACTCAAACCATTGTGATGTCTAATGCCTTGGAGTCAAAGTTAAAATTGTAACAAAATGTTAAGATATTTTAATAGACTGAAATTGAAAGTGGTAGCAAAAAAGTAAAAATGCAACTAAAAAGCCACTGCAAAAAATCAAAAATAAATATATTAGAAAAGTAGAAAGCTTAAGAAATTAGAAAAAAATTAAAGCTTCAAATCAAACATAAAAGAAAGAAACATATAGACTAGAAATTATCAGGATAGAAAACAGATGCGCAGTGGAGAATATTAAAAACGGAATTTTTAAAAGAATAATAATTGATGAAGTGCTTACATAAGACTAATCCAGAGAAAAAGGGAGGAAGGACAAACCCTAAAAAAGGCTAGGATGTGGTTAAGAGGCAGAGTTTGACCAGCGTACGCAATGCTCTGCATCCCATCTCTGAACAGGAGGGAAGTTCTGAAGGTTTTTAAAAAGATGTAAGTGCCATTAAATGAGATAGTCAAATTCCTCAAAATATCATAATCAATAAGAAAATAGAAAATCTGAGAAATCTGTATCTTTCAAAAACATCAACATTTAAATCAATATCAAAATAGTTTTCATGAAGAAAACTCCAGACCCGGAAATTCTTTCTAATATTTGAAGTCAAAATTTTTGTTTTTTACAAAACACTTCAAAAGAAAGGGACAAATAAGGACTATGAGGCCAGCATGACGGTCGTCTGAACCTCCAAGGATATTCCTAGAGTGACCCTGTGCCTCACTGTTGCCTTGCAGCATAGTTGCAGAAAACCTGAACACAGCATTAGCCATTGAGTTCAGTAGCATCTGAAAAGGTTAATACTTCAAAATTTAGGATCATTCTGTGAATTAAGGTTTAATATTGGTCTTAGTTACTATTCTGTTACTGTGAAGAGATACCATGGCTAATGCAACTGATAAGAGGAAGCATTCAATTGGAGCTTCGTTTCAGAGGGTTAGTATGTGATCAGCCTGGCAGGAAGCATGGCAGCAGGCAGGCATGGTACAAAAGCAGTAACTAAGAGCTATATCTTGATCTGCAAGCAGTGAGCAGAGAAATTAAGACTGGTTCTGCTCATAGGCTTTGAAAACCTCAAAGCCTATCCCCAGTGACATACCTTCTCTACAAGGCCATTCCTACTAATTCTTCTTAAACAGAAGAATTGGTCCACCAATTAGGGACCAAGCAGTCAAATATATGAACCTATGGGGGCCATTCTTATTCAGACTATCACATGTTCAAAAATTAATTCATGTCATTTAGCTCAATATGAGAATAAGAGGGAGGAGCCTGTGACATGTGGGAACTGCCATTGTTAACAATACCTGGTTGAGCAAAGGAGTATGTAATTTATAGTTGTAGCTGTTTTTTTGGTGGTTTTGGTTTGTTTTTTTGTTTGGGGGTTTGTTTTTGTCTTTTTGTTCTTTGTTGTTGTTTGTTTGTTTTTTAAGACAGTCTCTCTTTGTAGCTTCGTAGCCTGTCCTGAAACTCACTTTGTAGACCAAACTGGCCTTGAACTCAGAGATCCGCCTGCCTCTGCCTCCCAAGTACTGGGATTAAAGGCTGTGGCCGGAAGACTATTGGCGGTCAGGCTGGGCAACATAGCCAAAGCCTATTTCAAAACCAAACAAACAGAAATGTCAGCAACTTAAAAATTGATACTTGTTCCTGAAAAAAAATTAGAAAAACAATGTAAGATCATAAAGCACATAAACACAATGTGGCCAGGTGATGTCTGCTGTCAACAGTTATGTTTACTGTCATAATGCTGCAAGTGTGGGTAGTATAGTGAGGAGGTTCTAAAGACTTAATCCATGTCCTTAATAATGCCAAGTACATTAAAACACCCAGAAGTCAATCTAATGAGAGATTGGTGTATGGGTGAAAGTTGACAAGCCAATTCTATAGTGACGCAAGTGTGTGCGTGCGTGTGTGTGTGTGTGTCTGTGTGTGTTTCAGATGGAGTATCACTAAGTTACCTAGGCTGGCTTCCAATTTCCTGCTGCCTCCCTCCCAAGTGCTGGGATTACACCTATATGCCAAACATGCCTGATAGCTTTGTAATTTATATAGGAACACAAAGAATAACCAAGACTATTCTAAGAAGAACAAGGCTAGAGTAATGTTCTAAGTTGAAGACTAGTCAAACAGAGAGAACAGGGCTGTGCACCGTGTTAGTAAGAGGTTAGACAAGAGGCTCCCCTGGAACAGAGTGGGGCATCTAGAGACAGATCCATAATCATGACACCACCTGCTAATAAATGTAGCTGCCTAACAGTGAAGAGAGGACATAACACATGTGTCAGAGCTGGAGAGATGGCTCCAGTGGCTAAGAGCACTGACTACTCTTCAAGAGGACCTGGGTTCAATTCCAGTACCCACATGGCAACTCATACCTGTCTGTAACTCCAATACCAGGGACCCAATACCCATGGCAAAACACCAATGCATTTAAAATAAATTTAAAAAAGAAGAAGAATATAAGAATAAAAGGGCTTAAAGATAAAAAAGAAGTCAAAGTATTTTAAAATAAAATAAGAAATTTTTTAAAATAAATAAAACATGAGTCAGCTGACTATATAGAAAATAAATCCTGCCGCCTGTCACATTCATTATGCAGAATCAGTTACAGGGAGGTTACAGAGCTAAATAAGAGTAGCACATAAGCTCTCTAAGTGTTGGTAGAGAGCCCTAGAGGTGACATTCAGGGTAGTAATATATTTTATACTTCAGGATATCGGATATGCAGTGTATTTTTGTATACTAGCCAAGCTATATACTAACATGCAAACTTTGAGGTGTATGTGATATGCTTGTTTTGAACTACATATTTATAATTATCTTGTGTACATATGTGTGTGTGTGTGTGGATGCTTGTGTGTCGTGCACATGTGGAGGTCAGAGGACAGCTTATAGAAATTGGCTCTCTCCTTCATTTGGCTCCCAGTGACAGTACTCAAATCCTTTGGCTTGGCAGCAGGCACCTGCTGAGCCATCTCACTGGCCTACATTTACTTCATTTTTAAGTAACCTTAGAGAAATAAGTGGCAGTTGGACTGACAGGTAACTCCTCAACAGTAACAGTGAAAGTCAAAAAGCATGTCTTAAATGTGCTGGGGAAAAGTGAAGGCCTCCCTCCTTCAACTCTTCATCCATGAAGATAGCTTGCACAAAAGAGAAGATAAAAAGACACTTTTAGAAAGGTGTGTGGTGTTCTTGTGAGCCAGGAAGGACAAACATAGCCTGATAAATAACATAGGATTAGAAACAGAGCTAGCCCTGGACAGAGTGTGCTTGTTTGTGGGTGCCACTGACCCCTCTGGACCATCGCCCCCTCTTCATTTCCCTAAACATCTGTATGTGAGGCCCAAGCCCTCCAAAGTAACTACTTCCTGCACTTGACTGTCTCTGCTCCCCTTTCTCTCTGTTCTTCCTTTCAACCCTTGTATTTGTTCCCAATACAGGAATTGGGCCACTTTTAAAAACTACTTATGCATATGCATGTGAGTATAAGCCTAAACATGCCGTTCTCACTGTGAGTGTAGAGAGCAGAGTGAAACTCAGTAGTTAGTTCTCTCCTGCCTCCTTGTGGAAGTCCAGCATCAAACTCAGTTTAGCAGGCTTGTCCTCAAGCACCTTTACCTGCTGAGCATTCTCACTGACCCTCAACCTAATCCATTTTTAAATAATCCGTAATAAGAATTATAGACCAAGTACTCTGCAGTACCAATTCTACTTCTATCACTGTCCCTCGGCCTGCATAGCCAGGGTGACATTTCAGTGTTACACCATTTCCTGGTAACAGAGAAGCATAGGCAGAGAAACTCATCTATCGTCTTTATAGCTAGTAGTGGTGGAGCCATGATTAGAACACAGACAGTCTTCTAGAGTTGAAGCTCCCAGATTATGCTGTTTTGAAGTCTTGCCTTCGATCCTCTGTACTTATCTTTTATCTCCCAGAAGAGCCCTGTCCTCACTCGGCTTCTCAGAGTCCATGTTTTCCATTCAAATCAACCTGGAAGTAGGGTGGGCTGGCTCTTCTGGTCCAGTACAGATCCCCCTGTCTCTGCTTCCCGTCTGCCCTTGCTGGAGTTCTGACTGTGCATTACTGTGCCTGGCTTGTTGCATGGGTTCTAGGTTTCCACACTCATGTTCTTGTGCTGGTGAGACAAGCGCTTCACTAACTGAATCATCATCTCCCTAGCCCTCTGATTTTAATATTCTAGCCTGTAGTTGTTGTTTTGTTTTGTTCTCAGTGAGTAGGAACTTGAGTCTCCTGAAAGTTTACAGGAGGTAATATTTTCAGATCTTCACTTGAATGCATCCACCCCATTTTGCTTAGGCGATTTGTATGGAACTTCTTCCGCCTGGAGAACGAGCATCTGAATAACTGTGGTGAATTTCGTGCCGTGCGGGACATCTCTGTGGCCCCCCTGAATGCAGATGATCAGACACTCCTTGAGCAGATGATGGACCAGGAAGATGGGGTGCGAAACCGCCAGAAGAATCGGTCATGGAAGTACAACCAGAGCATATCCCTGCGCCGGCCTCGCCTCGCGTCCCAGTACGTATAGCCACCACTTCTGAGTAGAGTACTTCTTTGGTCTTTAAGATCACGTAACATTAGCTAACAAGCCCTAGACTGAACCAGATGAAGTTGCTGATACTCGGCCATGCTTCCTCTCCAGACAGTAGTAATCAGCCACTCCATATGATCAACTTCTGGAATGTGTCCTGGGTAATGAAATTTAGAGAGAACAGATAGCAGACTGGAATGAAAGAGACTGAAGCTGGGCAGTTTTCTAAAGATAGGGGGTGTTTAGGTAATACTATGAGTGGAAATGAAGGGTAGAAAGGAAAAGCATGTGTCCAGAACTGAAGTGAGAAAATATAATTGGGAGCACTCACTTGAACTGTCAAAGACTGGCCAGGCATTTAGACAGTGGAAGCAGGAGGATCAGTTCATGCTTATCCTTGGCTACATAGCAAGCTCAAGACTAGACCTGACTCAAAAAAAAAAAAAAAACCAATAACAAGACTGAAAACTGCAAGCTTCATCTTGTAGACAAGAAAGAAGCATGTTCTTTCCGAGGAGTGATGTGGAAGGAGATTTTAATGACACTGCACAATGTGGTAGGAAGTTGGGGCAGTAAAGACCTGGATTGGGATCTTAACGTCAGACTAGAAGGAACATGAAGGACACGAGCAGAAGGTGCTGTAGCCTGCTGAGCACAGGAAAGTAGACTAAGTCCTGCCGAGCTTTAGCTAGAGATTGGAAAGGGTAGAGAAGAGAGGAAGCAGGAAGCTGAGTCTTGGGCAGAAGGAAGAGCAAAGAAGCAGAAGTCAGCAGGGAAGTCAGCCAGAAGAGCATCGAATCAGCCAGGCTTCTGCTAAGGAAGGCTTTGCAGACTGGGACTTGGGGGACTGAGTAGGTAAGAGAGGGGCCTCAGAGCTGAAGAAAACGTTGGTGGGCTAGAGCTCCTCGCTGTAAAGGTTTCAGAGCTACCAGCAGAGGGCAGTCTAAACACACTTTCTGTTTCAGAAATGGGGCTCTTAGGCTCCAGATTATGTTGACTTCAGGTGTTTACCGGGAAACAAATGGCAACCAAAGGTAGAGGTTTATGGTACAGAAAGTCTGGGGAACCTAGGGTGAGACCTGATTCTGAGTTCTGACGCTATGAACTGCTGTGGTACATCATCAGCCTTCTGAATGTCCGCTTCCCCATCTGCCACATGGGAGTAACCGTCTCCTTTCACAGACACTACCTTCACACTTGGGGCGAACGAGTTGCAGGACATTTTCATGTTACTTCATCCCATTTCACACAGTACAAGAATCTCTGCACAGAGTCCTAAGAAACCGATCATTTTGTGCCAATTGGCAATCAGCAGTGGTAACCGTTTAACTGAGGCACCTGCATTGTATTGGGTAGTCGGTACTCAAACTCCTGTCTGTTTTTGAGAGCTACTCTGATGTTTAAACATAACCCACTGTTGTTCCTGCTTGTCCACCTTCTGCAGTAGATAGTTCCTGTTTAGGATGAGCACTATATGAGATCAGTTACATGTTTATTTCCTCTGATTACCCTAGATCCAAGACTCGAGACACTAAGGTATTGATAGAAGATACAGACGACGAAGCTAACACTTGAATTCTCTGAAGTCTCGATTTACATCCTTGGTTTCCTACTCTACAATTCTTCCCTTGACCAACGCAACCTCCAGCACCTTTTTCCAGCTGAGAACAGGAGAAAACAGAACACGTTCCCGGGCTCTTCAGATCGGGTCCTATGGACTCGAGCAAGCTCACTGTGTTTCTTTTCTTTTCTTCTGGTTTAATCTTCATTTTCTATTTTTAAAACAAAAACTTCATTTTGCCAATCAGAGGATGTTTTAAGGAACAAAAACCTAATATCTTATGGATTGTTTACAATCACAAAGACACAGATGCCCATCAGGATGAGGAACAGGCATTGGAAGGAGGCCTCTGATGGACAGCATGGACATAACTCAGCTTCTGCCTAGCCCGGTTTTGACTGTTTGAAACCGGACACTGGTTTTTAAATTTTCTGTCAGTTTCTGTGGAGAGTTTTTTCCCTCCCTTCCTAGCCAGCATAGAGCCACTGGCAGCACTTGCAGGGAAAGCTTGGAGCAGCACCCTCCTCCACGAAGCTGCTTTTTAATTTGACGTGGGTTTTCTCATTTGGGGAGGGTTTTGGGTGGGTGGGGAATATGATGTATTCGTTACATATGGTCTTCTTATTATTTATGAAACTTAACCATAAGTGAATGATACTACTCCTATGAAGGGAGGCAGGAGGAACTAAGGGTAGATGGTATTTGGGAGGGTCAAGCCCACATACCTTTTCCAGGAAACAGTTTGTACCAGTTTGTACTTTTCCTCTTTCGTTTTAACTTTAAGCCAAAGTTTTATTGCTAAATTTTAAGTTGCTGCTCTAGAGTCCCAAGTGTCACTGTCATGACCTGGCATCCACTTGCTTCCCACTGGTAGACATTCAGAGCAAAGGCTCTGATACTTGTGTCTTTAGGAACAGGTGCAGGATACACTCGCCCATTTACCAGTCCCAATAATGAAGTTCTGCCATCTGCTTCTGCATGTAGGAGAAGAGAGTCTGAGTTCTCCTGGCTGAATGGAAAGGCAGGCCTAATTTCAGACTCTTCACATCTTTATTAAATAATTCCCCTTCTTGTCTCATCTACTTTACCCAGAATTTGATCAAACTAAAAGTCTTTGGTGGGGGCTGTACTTTTGAGCATGTAGAACAAATCCTTCATCCTTCAAATTACATTGACAGAGAAGACCTTGGCAGCCATTTTTAAGGCCAGCAGTATTAAAAAGTGAATGTTGGATTTTATGACCTCCCATGATAGAACCCTTTTTAATTTGGGGCCTCTAAACTTGGCCATACTTTTAAAACTATATTTCTTAGAAATTTCAGGCTATAAATATACATTTTTATTTCTTTATCTCATCCCATCTTCCTAAATTCTCTAGAGAAACCTAAAAACATACACTTGACTTTCTTGAAATGGTTGGTATCAAATTTACTATTCTTCAGGACTAGGGGTATAGATCATTGGTAGCAGTGATTGCTTAGCATTCTTGAGACCTTGGGTTTTCTCTCAGCATGGGTGGGGAGGAGAACCACTCTTTAATAAAGTTAATATAAATACTAGGAAAAGGTAAAGTCAGCTTTAGTGCCCCCACCCCTGGATCTAGGAGAGCCATCAGAATCCATTCACTTATGCCCTTTTCACATTAACTTGAAACAGAGAACTAATGACTAGGAAGACGGCCATCAACACTTGCTTTGTTTTAAAAGTTGGCTGCTGCCCTTTAACCTCCCTTTTGTCATGAGCCCTGCCTGTGCATCATAACCGTCCCTCATTAAAGTTACTGCACTACTAAAATTCCACCTATTAACTCATCAACTTCCTTCTAGAAAGGGTTTCTTTCATTTTTATTCTGACAGAGTTCCAATTTTTTTTCTTCTTTCAGAAATGAGATTTTAACACATACATTCATATCCCCGCAAGTACATACAGTGTTGTAGGTTCTCTTGCTTTGTGTTATGCCAAGCATGTCCCTTGCCCCAAAACTAAAGAAGAAACATTTATTTTTAAAAAACAAATTTTAAATAAATTGTATACTTTATAATAATCAGTGGTAACAATTTAGAGACCCTTTGTAAATTAAAGGTTGCATTATTTCTATTTAGAATTTTTTTTTTCCTAACCTAGGTTTTTATACTTTAAAGCAGGTGATCGATCTCACTGGTCTCTGAGGTAACATCAGCAAGTACTAAGACTCTATAGAAAAGTCCAGTGACTTATGATTTCTTGTACAATAAAGTCAGTGGTACTGTGTATCCAGAGCCACGTGAATTGGCAGCTTCTTTCTCTGGTAGTCAGTCTGTGTGTGACATGCAGAAACTCACACAGTTGACTTCCACCATTCCAACTCCTTGATGTTTTCACGTCAGTCACGTCAGTTAACATGTGGCCAGCTTGGTCTTTCTCCACCTGTTAGGATCCAGGCCCTAATCAGTATTATTTCTTTCATAAATAATGCAGAGATAGAGTGTATTCATTTTTGGCATTTGTCCTGTTGCCTACTCAAAGTAAGGCTTACATGCTCTCCAGCTTACCACGGCAGATGCCCAGTACTTTCTTACACACTCCGGCTTCATCTCCCTGGCTCTAAAGAGATTACTTTATCCAACGAATTTGGGAAACCAAGCGTGCATTTCAGTTTTTCCTTTCGAAAAGGCGATGTGCATTTTTCTCTCCTTGATTCCATCTGGCCTAAGCACTGTCGGCAGTGTGTCCTGCTAATGTTCAGTTGCATAATCCTGTACCCTGAAACTCCTGATGGAAATCTTAGAAGTGAATCCACACCACAGCCATGTTACAAACTAGTCCTTAATTTTAGTTTTGTTTGAAAAGGGTTCCATTTTTAACAGTGCTTAAAATACTCCCAAGAGGAATGCAATAGAGAATAAAGTCTGTTTTCCATTTTATACAATGTAGGAAGCAAAGGAGTACAAAGAGAGCTATTAGCGGTTTGTTCTTAACAAATGAATGCCTATAGCAGAAGCTGCCATGGCGTGACAATGGATCGTTGATAATGTCCTCTCGTACAGAGACAAAGGCATGATCAGAGATGAAGTCGTCCGATAGTCACGTGTGTCATGTTGGCTTTTTGTCTCCAGCACCCTATTATTAGAAGACTTCGTAGGTTCGGGGACACAGTGTGAAAGAATGCCAGTAACTCAGCAAGAATCTGGACAAACTCTTAGAGCAGGCCCGACTGCCTAGCCGCGACTCCCAGCATTCCGAATGAGAGCACTGCTGTTTCAGCGGACTCAGTTCACAGGTGGTGTCTTCCCAACATGGCTCCCTAGTTTCCCAATAGATGGACCTAGCGCAAGGCAAGAGTGGAACTGAGCCACACAGATGCACCTTAGCACTGAGTTGGAGATAACAGAGAGGACTTGGGCCTTGGCAGCAGGAACAGGGCACTAGGTAAATCACATGACCTTTCCGTCCCTCTGTGCCTCCATTTCCTCTCACTGCATCATTTAAGAATAGTTTTTATACCTGAATTCGATTTTCTGAGGAGTAACTACAGAGATTTCTTATTCTAAGGAAAGAATTTAGAAATAACACTGTCTCTGACATTATAGTAAACCCCTGGGATTCTCTGAAGTGATAATACTATTTCATCGATATGTTGTAGGTTGTCATTCTTTTACTAGTCTAATAAAATTTGCCTCCCTCTTAATAGATACATCTTACTATAAACAGTGTACTCTGGTGTCTAAAATTAAGGTAACTTAGACTAAAAGTTGATCATGTAGAATCTTGATCTCCCTCGACTACAGAAACCGTACTTTACTCTAATAAACCAGTGTCATTATTGACCAGGTGAAAATCGAAATTTAGATTGAATTTTGAAAACGGTGATCTGTTTTCTACTTGGTCTATTGGTTTTTGCTGGTCATTCGCTTCAACATGGATTTCTGCGGTTCTGCTATCAGTCACGATATTAAATCCTAAAGCTCCCAACCTGCCTATTTCAAGTTTATACAGAACATGTGGTTGTGTGGGACAGAGCTGGTTCTGTTGTAGCATCCATTTGTGGCATGGCGTGTGACAAATCAGCCTTGTAGCCCGCATTAACCACACTCTAGTCAATGAATAGTAGCAAAAAGCAAAAGCATCTCCTTAGATTTGAGAGAGCTGAAGTCAGACAGTACAAACATTTTCCTGATGGAGAAGAGGTACTGATGGGTGTGACCCCTGATGCCTTTTTCACACACTTTCAAAGCCGATACTGAGCTGCCCCCGGAAGCAACTTTCAGAATGTATTTTCTTATGGTGGATGAGGAGGTGAGGGGGACAAGATGAGTTTTCCTTGAAGTGGGGAGAATCCTATCAGTTTACAACTGAATGTGTTTCCTTGTAGCAGGCCTTTGGTTTATTTTATTAAACCAATGCCAGCTTCAGTTTTGTTTTGTTTTGTTTTGTTTTTGTATGGTGCCATCCACCTAGGAGGACAATCAAATAACCTATTGTTTGCTTTGGATTTGGTGTCTATTGATTCTCATCTTGTATACCTCTGAACTTAATTTCTACTTGGCGCCTATCCATGTGAGTCACCACGAGTCAGAGGGCAGCTAGCAGCACTGCTGGACAGCTGTAGACCTGTGAGAAAGGGCAGGGTCCTGCCTCCCTGTTTCAAACACTATTCCTGAAGTTCTTGCCTACACTTCTCCCAACATCCTTAGCAAGACTAGTGTGCTCTGGACAGGGAGAAGGAGTTTTTATGACATTGTTATTGTTTGAACTGTTAAGGTAAAATTGTAAACCACTCCTGTTTCATCTGCAAAAAGAACAAAACCCTTGAAGCTTTATTCCATTGTGAAGACTGGGTTAGCACAGGAGCTTGTACCAGTGAAGAGTAGGATGGAATAGGGTGAAACTTGTTATTTTTTCTTTCAAGTCCTCTCTCTACTGTGTTACACACACACACACACACACACACCTCCACCCCGCCACACCGTGTTGGTCAGATGATGCTGTCCTGTGACTTCCTGAGCTATAGTTGTCAAGAGTAACTATGGATTGTGATTAGTCCTCTGTGGGTGACTCTTGCCCCGTTTGCTCCCTTGCTTTCTTCCCTACTCTCCACTCCGGTGACGTCAAGGAATCAATGCTTGCTTGGACTCACGTCGTATCTGTAACTATGCTATTAGCTGTCTCCTTTTTCCTTCTTCTATGGGTAGAATTCTTATGACCTGTGGAGTTCCCTTCTGGATAAGTAGGTTAAATGCACAATGTGGTACTGTTCTATAGTTTCTAGATGGTTAATGTGCTTATGTGTTTTTAAAAGAAAATAAGTGATTGGTTTCAAAACACTGGCCTTTTTCATTATTATAAGCTCTGTTTTCCAGTAGTTTGCTGACTTGTGTCTGGGGAGTGCTTTGTGTCACTGTGTGCCTTTCTCTCTGGGGGGTCTTGGATTCTTGATCATTATTCCCCTTAGTACTAATAAGTATATGGGCCCAACACAAACAGCTTACAATGGTGAATTAGAAAAACAGAATCTGTCAAATTCAAAAACAATTTTTTAAAAAGGCAGGCATAGTCGTCTATGCCTATAATCTCCAGCACTTGGAGGCTAAGGCAGGAGAATTCCTATGAGTTTGAGGCAGTCCCTGGCTGAATAGTGAGTTCCAGGCCACCTGGTCGAGAGAGAGAGAGAGACAGAGACAGAGAGAGAGAGAGAGAGAGAGAGAGAGAGAGAGAGAGACCCTGCCCCCAAAACTCAAATAATCTTAAATAATCTTAAATGGCTTTTTTTTTTCAAGGTATGGCTCTAAAACAATGGAATTGATCCAGCAAGTTTTATCTTTTCTTACACAAATTAAATGAGACGCTGTGTGTAACTGCATGCTGGACAGCAACAGCCTTGTTGCCTCACAGCTCATGCCCAAGGTGGGGAACGCAGCTCTTCCTGCTGGGTCCTGGGTAGAGTAGCACTGATGTCTGACTAGGGGAAGTTAGGAAACTCACTGGCCCTGAGATGAAAAGAGGGAAACAGTCTGCTGACTGAGCGGTAGAGCCGTCACCTTCATGTTGTTGCTCCCTCTCCTTCTCCTGTTTCTCTGCAGGCTGAGAACTTTATGGTGATGGGGTTTCCTAGCTAGCGGGCTAGGCTGGAAGTGGCATGAGCCATCAGAGCCACCCCTTTCCTGTAGCCCAGCATTTGTTTGCCTGTGGCCTTCATGCTTGCCAAGTACACAGCACTGCAGTTACATGTGAGCCAGTGGGCAGTTTTAATTTTAATTAAGACCCAAAGCAGATAAATCTGTAATCCTACATAATCCCAGAAGCCCAGTGGCTCTTTTTACCAGCACATCCAAAATCCTTGGACTTTCAGCATCTGTATCTTTCTGATTTTTTTTAATTAAACCTTTTTCAAAGGTTATGAAAATATTAGTTTATCCTTTCTGACTTCCCACTTTCCCCCTTAAAGGCATTGTTTAGTTCTTATATTTTTAAAGATTTACACATTTATTGAGTCCCTGCCATGTACTCAGTCAACATTACTTGGCTTTCACTGAAGTTGGTTTTGTTAACTTTATGAACCTGAGATGGTAAAAGTTACTTTTATGAAACCATTAGCAAAATGATCAAGACTCCTGGGTGTTTGCACTGGAATAAGCTGGATTTTCTCTCCCAAATCACAGGGGCTCTTCAATCTGTCTGGGGCAATCATTAAAGCCTATCCTGGGTACTTTTCATCCCTTAAAAAACAAAGTGTGGAACAGAACAAGATGGCAGTCAAGATGCTCCAATTACCATCTCCCTACAGACATTGCAAGTTCAGGCACCAAAAACACTACACTCTGGACAGCTAAGGAAATCCAGTCAGAGACCACAGTGCTTGGTTTTAGCATGACAATGAAAAGACAGGCTAAAAGCCCCGTGGTGGTGCATGACTTTAATCCCAGGACTTGGGAGGCAGAGGCAGATGGATCTCTGTGAGTTCAAGGCCAGCCTGGTCTACAGAGTAAGTTCCAGGACTGGCTCCAAAAACTACACAGAGAAACCCTGTCTTGAAAAACCAAAAAAGAAAGAAAGAAAAGAAAGATAAAATATGCCCTTGCCACCACACCCTCTTCTACTTCGGCAGCCCAGCAGAGGCATTTCCCACTTTACTGAAAGGAGCCCTCCTCAGTTAATTCCAATTAAGTCGAGGCCTTTGACTCGAAACCCAGATCCAGGCTTATCATGGTAAAATCCAGTGATAACATGACTTACTGTGAGCCTCAGGCTAAGTGCAGTGTAGTGTGCTTCAAGTACCTATTTACTGAAGCCAGGGTAAGCACAAGACATCTCTCTGGAACTTGCAGATGAAACCCCATTCCCAAGCCTGCCTATGCACGGAGCCTTAGGAAGAGCTTCAGTGCCAAGAGAATACATATAACCCCAGTATGCTGGCCTAATATTGCAGCTAGCATCACCTGTGGCTAGTTGCAGGAATCTTGGGCCACAAGTCCCCAGCAATAGGCAATCTATAGCTGTGTGGCTCTTGGTCCTGCCCCAGTGTTGTGTTGGTCTTGAATGGGCTAGTTATTCAGATTACATTTAGTACCAATAGTGGCCATGGTTATGACATAGGAATGGAACTGGGGTTAGTTTATCTGCCGTGATTCTGCATGTAGTTACATAGAATCCCATCGTGGTAACTATGGGAAAAGTATGCAGGCGTCCTCCAACCCCAGAGGGAAGTTTAAGAAGACAGACTGCTGTTGTTTAATAGTCTTCTGGTTCTTTCTTAGCAACACACCAAGAGTAAATGCTTCTGGGATAAACCGGCACAAACCATCCTCTATAGTGAAACAACTCGTACACTAACAACAGACTCCCTGCAAATCAGGACCTAGCATCAACCAGCCAGTGTGGAAATGGTGACTGTAACCAGCTTAGGAAATCAGGAAATACACGCATAGACAAAGCCAGATGAAGAACAGTGGAATGAATAACTTGTAAATACCTACTCCTTCAGTGTGCAGATGACCCAGGAAGAGCTTGAGGAAAGCATGACCTCACCTCATCAAGTCCAGAAACTGACGTGAGAATAACCACTAAAAGAAGCTTGAGCGTGTGTAGCCACTTGGGAGGATACTCAAGGAGGTGAAGAAAACACAAATCTTTCCATACTCAGAATATAACCACAGATGGAAGAACCTTAAATATAAAATATTTGGGAAAATTAAAAACAATAGAAAGAAGCAACAGTAGGAAAGATCAAACAGAAGAGAGACTCCAGGCTTTAAAATGGTGATGTAAGAATATACAGTTGGGAGAGAGAAAGTTTACAGAGTCTTTTTGACAGCATTAAGAGAAAATATTTGGATTGTTGGCAGAAGAGGCATGGAAAGTTTACCGAAAGAAATAACACAAAAGTCCCCTTAGCCTAGAAAATGGCACATCTGCATAAAGGAAAGTCAAGATCTCTAGTCAGTTTAACTAGATCCTGAATCTAGACCAAGCTAAAAAAAGAATTAAGTTCTAAAGGGAAAGAAGGAAGAGAAAGGTCTCAAGACTGCACAAGAAAAAACACGCCAGCGTGCCTCAGTTCTCCAGCTGGCCGTCATTTGACAGGCCAAAGAGAATGGCATTGGAGTCCTGGAAGGACTGCAGGGAGAGTAAAATGCTCAACCAAGATTACTGTATCCAGGAAAGCTTTCGTGTAGAAAGACGGGAGAAACAGAAGTGGAGTGCTCAGCAAGGCCTGTGCTGTAGGAAAAGTTAGCCAGCTATGATGGCTGGTCCCCCTGATCAGGAAGACCTGTGCTGTAGGAAAAGTTAGCCAGCTATGATGGCTGGTCCCCCTGATCAGGAAGACCTGTGCTGTAGGAAAAGTTAGCCAGCTATGATGGCTGGTCCCCCTGATCAGGAAGACCTGTGCTGTAGGAAAAGTTAGCCAGCTATGATGGCTGGTCCCCCTGATCAGGAAGACCTGTGCTGTAGGAAAAGTTAGCCAGCTATGATGGCTGGTCCCCCTGATCAGGAAGACCTGTGCTGTAGGAAAAGTTAGCCAGCTATGATGGCTGGTCCCCCTGATCAGGAAGACCTGTGCTGTAGGAAAAGTTAGCCAGCTATGATGGCTGGTCCCCCTGATCAGCAAGACCTGTGCTGTAGGAAAAGTTAGCCAGCTATGATGGCTGGTCCCCCTGATCAGCAAGACCTGTGCTGTAGGAAAAGTTAGTCAGCTATGATGGCTGGTCCCCCTGATCAGGAAGACCTGTGCTGTAAGAAAAGTTAGTCAGCTATGATGGCTGGCCCCCATGATCAGTAGGGAGGAATGGAGGTGGAGAGCTTATTTGTGTATTTTGTGCTTCCATCTTTATGGCAATGTTAAATTTTTATTTCCAAAAGGTAATTTCTACGTATGTTTTTGTAGGACTTATAATAAACAGAAAGCACACCACTAAATTACTTAACCGCTCTAGGAGACGAAGAAAGCAAGCAAATGTGAGAGAGTTACCAGTAGGGAAGAGATGCTCCAACACAGACTAGGTGAGCACCCCACTTTCAGCAATGGGCCAGGCGTACAGACACACAGCCAGCAAGCGTCAGAGTAAAATTGTATCCCAGATCAAATGGAGCTTGCAGACACCCACAGAACATTCTGTCCAACAACTGCAGGCTATGTGTTAGTGCATGGAACATATGTCAGAGTACCTAACATCGTCTACGATAGATTGGGAGAAAGTGATGAAGGATCTAGCTGTCTGTACATAGCAAGAGAAAAGGCCTAGGCCTGCAGTGAAAACTGTTACTCACACAGGTTGCAGTGCAAACAGAGGTTTGGGGTGCAGCAAGGTGAGGGCAGAAGGTAGATAAGCTGGGTGTGAAATGATGGAGTTGCACACATGGGAGGGACAGAGCTCTGCAGGGCTGGCAAGCCAGCTGCCCTCCACCCTGAAGCCCTTGAGGAACATAAGACATCATTATTCTCTCTCTCCCCCTCTCCCTCTTTTTTTTTTAAATTTAATTGCATTTTATGTGAATGAGTGTTGTGCCTATATGTTTGCATGTGCACCATGTGTGTGCCAGGTGCCCACAGAGGTCAGCAAAGGACATTGGATCCTCTGGGACTGGAGTTACAGATAGTTGTGAGCTGCCATGGGTGCTGGGTCTTCTGCAATAACAACAAGTGTTCTTAGTCACCGAGCCATCTCCCCACCCCTGCTTTCATGCACTCTTGCATCTAATGCAGTTTGTAGCAAACGAAAATGTTAAATACAAGGTAACCAAAACAGAGGGCAGCAACTGTGATAGAGTGAACTCCCATGTAAGAACAAAGAAAAATCTACTTAACACCCAGAAAGCCACCTGTGAGGTCATCACTGGCAACACAAGCTGGGGCT